TATTAACAATCCTATACGTACCAATATAAAAATACGTAAAAGATAGTTCATTCAAAATTATTCAATTAACGACCAATAAACGATCTTATTTTCTTATTATGCAGTTAATATAACTACTCGTCACGTTAAAAAAATCAAAAATCAAAAAAAATACTGACTTTATTTGTCAAGAGATTAACGATATACGTACGAGTGTTTGTGTTTGTGTGAAAGATTTAAAGATAAGAAAAAATCTGTGGAAAAGATATAGTTCGAGTTATGTCATAATTACGCGATAGTTCCATATATGGTAAAGCAGCATCTGTACATACGTACTGTACAAACGTACGTATGTACGAATTTACCTAAAATTTATCAAAATGTTGAGTACTCATTGAACCCTAAAAAGCCATACTTACGCTTTAAAGTGATAATGTCATACCCATGCATTATTATATGATCTTTCAAGCAAACTTTCTAGTATTGAAATTAACAAGAAAGTTTTGGCAATAAAGTCAATGAAATTATAGTAGTATTGATGTAGAGGAAAATTACGAGGAGGGATGATTTTTATTAGTGAGGAGAGAATATGGGATTTTCCTGGAGGTTTTTTTTTTGGAAATGTGATGCAAAATCATATATTGATAAATCTATTCTATTACGTAGTATTCTATTCGCCGTACAGTAATAACGTAATGTTTACATGAGTGTAGAAACGGTTCTCTGAATTGAATGAATAAATAAAAACATACGAATTTTAATAATTCATAAGCTTAACCCTTCATAATTGAATCTTTAATGATAAGAGTTGCTTTAAAATCTTAAAGTATCAACTTAACGTTGATTGACCATATAAAAAATTAAACGTTGATTGAACCATATAAAAAATTTTGCGTTGATTGACCATATAAAAAATTTTGCGCTGATTGACCATATAAAAAAGAAACTTAACGTTGATTGGCCATATAAAAACGTTGACCATATAAAAAAACCCTTCCTTTTTTCTAATCTTAATGTCATAAAATGCTTAAAAGTCCTTAACTTTTTTTTTTTTTGTTTAGTTGCGGTGGATCAAATTCTCAATGCTATAGGAATTACTACATTTTCCTTCTTCCACCTCTTTTTCAAGACTAGCTGATTCTTCGACATCACTAGTATTATCATATTCATTCGATTGCTCGGAATTTCTGTTGAGTCTCTCAGGTTCATTCCTTAAAGGAATGTTAGCACCTTGTTTCGCAAAGCATTTTGTAAGAGAAGAACACTCTATAAAAAAAAAAAAAAGAGAAAATTAAAGTTATTATTAATTAAAATTTTTATTTGTTATAATTATTATTTGTTAAGAATTTTATTTGTTAAAATTATTATTAGTTAAAATTTATTAAAAACTATTAAAATGGAGAAATCATAATTTCTTACCAACAACACCCGGAAATTGTTTATTTCGAAAAACTTTAAATTCTGCAGAATCGACCGAAGCTAATTCTCTTATTTGACCACCAGCTCCTGTATTTAGTAATCCTTCCCTATGGATTTGTTAATCACTGATTATTATGATCATTAGCAAACATTTGAAATATACAAATATAGTATTTTCATACTTACCATCCAAGATAAAATAATTGAAATCTTAGGATGTATTCATTTTCTGTGCGAACACCCAAATTAGCATAAATAAACCATAGTCCTTTAGTGCCATGTTCATCCATATAAACATGACAGATTTCACTCCTACATCCAATGAGATTCAATATATTTTCTTGGGGAAGTTGAGGATTAGAAGATTTAACCCAAACGGTTGTGCAGTTTTCAGATCTAAGATCATAAAGGCTCGCGTGGAGCTGGAAAAACTGAGATTCAATATCACTTTTTTTTATTGAAAAAGAGGAACAAAATTAATAAGATTAAATTAAACAAGATAAAAGAGGTGAGAAAAAGTATGAAGCAAATAAAGAATATATTTAAAATGAATTGTTAAAGTCACATACTCGATGTTCACGGGACCTGAAGAATTAGAAATTGTCAATCTTATAAAAATTGGCGGTGATATCGATCGGTAATCCTAAACAAAAAATTAACACACAATAAATCTATAGTTAATTTTGTGTATAATGAACTAACATTCGAATTATTAAATAAAAAAAAATCTATTTATGATTATTATGATGATTATTATTATTAAAGGATGGCATAAACTTGATTATTATTATTAAAG